TATTATGATGTAAAACAACAAAAATGATCTTTATTCACATCCTCACTCTTAAATATATATTTTATAGCGTTTTAACTTTTCAGTATCTGACCTTGCCCACCAAAGTTAAGGCTAACTTGTGTAAATTTGCAGAACTTTGCCCATGCTTTCATTATCTGCAGGCTTTTTGTCTTAAATCAGCCCTACTGAGAAACAACACGTGGCATTGTTTTTATCTTGAATAATCTGAGCTGGGGATTTTATTTTGGCGAGACTTTTTAAATAAATCATCAGATATGTCCAGGGTGATAGTTAAGAGATGGTCAATTAAACAACAACAACAACAAAAACGTGTGCCCAATTAATATCTTCACTGATTCTTCCCATATTTACTCATTACTTTACCTACAAATCTGCAGAAAATATCCTCAGACTAAAAATATGTGCTTTATTGAAAACACTCAGGCTGGTCCTCTCTGACATTAGAGTAACACAAACTTTGGGGTTCTGTGGAGAAATTGTATGCAATGACTATCTTATCTGTTGTAGATACATTTTTGAACAACTTCGATCTGGAGAAGAAAAAATGTTTTAGACTAACAAGATAGCAGCCAGTCTAAGTATGGCAAACTCTTTGTGTATTTATTCAGTATTTTAATATCACATATAGTTTTTGCTATTTTTTTCTGCACAATGTTGGTGCAGTTTTGGTGAGACTACTTCAATATTTTTATGCATTAGTTTGACAAGCATTCTTATTAGTAATTAAGGACAGTGCATATTAATCAACATGAGTATATGAAAACAAACATGTAACTATGCCAGATTTAGCCACAAGGGCTAATTTTCATCTGTAGTCCCCTGGCAGGTTGATGGTAATATATTTCCCTGACCAGTAGCACTATGACCCTCACACAAGACACCATTTTGCCTCATTAGTAGCCCAAAAGTCTCGACTAGTTAGCCTTTTAAAGCACTCGTGCACCATTAGACCAACTTAGTTGATATTCCTTATTGTTTAACTAATTAGTGAGCATTTTAGTGTCTACTAGTGTTGATAGCTAAATACTGAGTTCTTACTAGTTGTTGGTTAGTAGGCATAATTTGTAAAGAAATATTTATACTTACTAGATAACTTGGATGACACAGTTGTCACCTAGTTTGGGCTGCATGTGAAGCCAAATTACTTGGGACTTATGGGTGAAAAATGGCCTAATATATGAGTCTTTCTCTGACTAACTGGGTCAAAGAGCCACTAATTGGCAGGAAAAGTGCTACTAGTTGGAGTTTTTATTAAACTAGCACACAAAATGTAGACCTAGTGCCACCAAAGGTGCAGCTATTGCAACACAGTCTCAAACTAGCTGGTGAAAATAAAGTTTGACATCAAAGACACCATATAAAAACACAAATGGATTAAAAAAACAGAAAAAGAAATTTGCCATGAAATGTTTTGGACTGAATTTGTTTGAACACAAAGCAATTAGGTTTGGTCTTACTCAGGGAAAAAGATTTTAGCTCATCAATCCTGTCAGATTTAAGCTCTAACTCTACTGATTCCATTGAAAGAGTTATCCAGAACAGGTAAGATAGTATTTGCTCATCTCCTGTCCACAGCAACCCTCAAAGTCTCAATCTTGTCAGCTTTTTCCCTAAATGAAGAGGTATCAGAACACACATACACAGCAGCCCACTCTGTTTAACAGTCACACACAGACTCCTGAAATGATTCTTATCAYAATTGCTTGTGCCCACCCACCTCAAAATAAAAAGACGTCATTTTTATCACAGACTTCACAAAGCAAAAGTGCATTTTAATGTCCCCACCTTCAATAGGCTCCGTGTGTTCTGTCTCATTTCTCATCCTGCATCTTGGGTGTTTTTCAAAGCCAAATTACAGAGTGAGAAAATATATCTGGCCTCAGAATGTGGCCAAGATTGGAAAAGGGGAAACGCTCGGCAGTGAAACGCCCTCTAAACACATGCATATTCATACGCTGAAAYGCCACATCCATCATGAATTTCTAAATAAAACCTAATGTGCCTGCACATCATCTCCTTCTGCAGGAGTTTTTTTTTTTTTGAGCGCTTCTATTATATAAAAAGAAGTTAATGAGAACATTGCACGTTCTATTAGTTGGACTCTCCAACTTCCCAGCTGAGGGTCCACATCCCGGACAGACACCTGCTTTGTATTCTACCTGAGGTCAGCGATTCAGGGGCTTGGAGACAYAGTGTCTGTATGAATATACAACACAGTAAACACGCACCTCGCTGCTCCCATTACTTGGCCTTGATAAGTTATCCGTTCACCTCTGTGTGCGGCTTGCACAGCACGGCTATGAATATGGAAATGAAATCGCGAGGAGATGAAGGAGGGCACATTCTGAAGATGCATCTTCTTTCATCAATGTGTGTGTGTGTGTGTGTGTGTGTGTGTGTGTGTGTGTGTGTGTGTGTGTGTGTGTGTGTGTGTGTGTGTGTGT